TTTCTGCATTAACACTGAATAAGGAATAACTAAATTACACACGAGCAAGTCAGTTTTAAATAAAAGGCATCAGTGGTATTCATTACTTGTGGTATAATCAGCATTTTTAAAATCTATTCAGGATTTATGTTTTCTTGTTTATTCATTTTTCTTATTTTTTATTCTCCTTTTTTCTCCTGTAATAAGTGTCATCGCTGCTGTGACGTCTAGCTTTCCCCACTGAGGAACAATAAAGGGATTTGCTATTCTATTCATCTATCTGCAGCCTTTCCACTTCCTGTTTACTGTAGGTTAAATCTTTTCTCACGGGCCAACAACAAAATAAAAATATCATTTTATCTTAAATGAAATTGCAACATCTCATCTGTTAACTTTCATGTTTTGGAGCAGAAAAAGAGCATAAAACCAACATATTTAAAGCTCAGTTTGCTCCACTGGTTTACTGTGATGCTCACCTGTTCCAGCCAGATACCTGCATCATGGGGTTGATCTGAGCTGAGGAGGAGACTCCTGTTGTTTTGTTCATCTTCATCATAATAATGACAACATTAGATGACAACAGGTGCTCACATAGGTTTGTGCTGATGAACATGTCTGAGCAACTTGACCACGTTGTTGTGTGTCGGGGAGGAAACACAACGACAGAGTCATGCTGGTTTGAGCGTGTCGCTGCTCGCTGGAGTTATATCGGCTCTGTCTGGAAGTTAGCTGGAAAACTTTCTCTTTCAGTCATGAACACATTACTGAGTGGCTAGAATCTCCGTTTCTGGGCTTCAACGTCAGAAAATAGCTGAGTGAACTCGGCGCTGAGTGAGAGGAGTGTTTAGTTTGTCCGAGACAGCGGAGCTGCAGGGACCGGCAGCAGGCGCTGAAAAAACACAAAGGAGAGGGCTTCGTCGGCTCCGCGCTGACGCCGCAAAGCATCATGGGAGTTGAAGTCTTTGCGGTAAAATCAGCCAGCGGGCCAGTTTTAATATATTTTTGATATTTATCTTGTGGGCCACATAAAAATGCTCCGTGGGCCGCATCTGGCCCGCGGGCCTTGACTCTGACATATGTGCTCTACTGCTTTCTTCTACAGTCTGCTCTTTAACTGTACTATTTTGTGCAATTTCAGCTGTTAACTTTATTTTCTCTGTAAGTGTTTTTCTCCCCAGAAGAAGCTACAACAATGTTCTGCTGAGCTGTGGTGGCCTCATGGAGGGGGCCATCGACTAGCACACTGCTGCTAACCACTTAAACATTATCTCTCTCCTGATAATAACTTTTTGGTTTCCTTGACTTTTGATGTGCTAATACTAGTTTATCCGTTTAATTATAGATCCACTAGGATAAATACAATAAAGTTTACCTTTCACCAAATAGAATATTTACGAAGACATCACAATATAACTATAGACACATTACTTGTGTGTGTGTGTGTGTGTGTGTGTGTGTGTGTGTGTGTGTGTGTGTGTGTATCTGCTCTGTTCTGTCTTCTCGATCCCCAGTGAGTCGTGGAGGATGGCTGCTTATACTGAGCCAGGATTCTCTGGAGGTTTCTTCCTGTTAAAAGGGAGTTTTCCTCTCCACTGTTGCTTTATGCTTGCTTGGTATGAGGATTGCTGTATAGTCACTGACACTAGTCAGTGACTTGATGCAATTTGCTGGGTTCCTTGTATAGGAAACATTATTTCTGATTGGCTTAATGAACTGTGAATTGGAATGTTTATTATGTGAAGTGCCTTGAGACGACTCCTGTCGTGATTTGGCGCTATATAAATAAACTTGAATTGAATTGAATACTTTTTCATTTTCAAAATTGGACATTGCTCAATGTATTACATGACAATTAGTGGTTTAACAAGATGTATAATCAAGTATGTCAATTGAATCTTAAAACATCCAGAACCAACAAAGACCAAACATAAACCATAACATTAAAAATGTCATCTTGTCTTATTCAAAACTATTGATACAATATCCATGCTTTCGTTCTTTTTTAAACACAGAAACAGTTTTGTTTACCTGTTTGTAGCTACGGTTTCGCCGACAGCTGCCGGCTTCTTCAGGCTGACGCTGATGGTGGCGCGTCACTTCCTTCTCCGTTTATCTGCGGGCAGCAGAGGACGTTGTCGCCCTCTACTGCCCGCTCTCCCCTCTCCGACGATGCAGTCCCATGTGTGGTCCACCTTCGCTTCTGTTTAAGATGCCGGGACGAAAACATCACACCCACAAGCCTACAGCTGAAAACATCGATCCGGACCCAGACAGCACAAAATATAATAGAAAGAGCACAGAGAGCACTGCTCAAGGAGAGGATAAGGAACGTCATAACCAAACAGAGGCGTGTGGAGGACGAACTGGAAAGAGGACACCTGGACTTGAAAAGGAATTACAAACTTGATAAACAAATGGAGGAACTAATTAAAGGACACATGATGGAAAAACAGGAACAAGAGTTCATAAAAGTGAAAGAAAGACACATAAAGAAGTTAAACAGACTCATAAACAAGAAAAAGAGGGGAGAAATACAAGGCAACTCCACACCAAACTCATGGGTATGTAACATTTCACAATACAAACTAACAGAAGCAGAAGAAAGCATATTAAAGAAAGGTTTAAACTTTGCAGTCACACCAAAAGAAATACCATATGATGAATTTATTGTAGCAACAGAACTAGCATGTCAACAGATCACAGATGAGGGAAAGAAAGCAGAACTCACAAATAACGTAGTTGGGATATTAAAAAACAGCCAAATTCAACACAGCAATATTACAAAAGAAGAACAATCAGCCATGACAGCCTTATCCAAAAATGAACAGATAATTATTCTACCGGCAGATAAAGGAAGAACCACAGTAGTAATGGACAGAGAAAAATATAAACAACAGATGAAACAGATGCTAGAAGACAAAAATACATATGAAATACTTAAAAAAGATCCAACAGAAAACATTAAGAAAAACATGAAAAAATTACTGAAGCCACTGCACGAAAAAGGCAAAATAACAGAAAAAATGTACAAACACTGGATTCCCACAGCAAACATAACCCCAAGAATATATGGAACACCAAAAATACATAAACAAAACACCCCACTTAGACCAGTAGTTGACAGCATAGGTACACCAACATACAACATGGCAAAAGATATCAGCAGAATCATCAGCCCGTTATTAGGAAATACAGACCAACACTGCAAAAATAGTATAGAATTGGCAAAAGAACTAAAGGAAATTACAATAGAAGACAACGACATACTCATCTCACATGACGTCACATCTCTGTTCACAAAAACACCAACCCAGAGAACCATAGACATAGTAGTTAACAGAATCAGACAAGACAAAACTTTACATAAAAGGACAAACCTCACAGCAGATGACATAGCACAACTGATAGGACTGGTAGCTAACTCCACTTACTTCACATACGACAACACAATATACAAACAACTGGAAGGCTTCGCCATGGGTGACCCGTTCTCAGCCACCCTGTGCGAGTTTTTCATGGAAGACCTGGAACAAAAAGCCATAGCCACTGCCCCCCCAAACTGCTAAATAAAACTATGGAAACGCTACGTAGACGACATACTGGAAATCATACCAAAAGGTCAAACAGAAACACTAACACAACACTTAAACAATATTGACGACACGGGCAACATAAAATTCACTTATGAGTTAGAAACAGAAGGCAGTATAGCATTTATGGACATGAAAATCACCAGGCAGACCGACGGGACCCTAAACATAAACACATACAGGAAACCAACACACACAGACCAATATCTATTATGGACATCAGAACACCCCACCATACACAAAATGTCAGTAATCAGAACATTATATCACCGAGCAAACATAATAACAGAAGAGAGAGACCGTAAACAAGAGGACAAACACATACAACACGCTTTAAAGACCTGCAGATACCCGACATGGGCAATAAACAAAGGAAAACAACAAACAAAAACAGAAAGCAAAGAACAACCCAAAAAAAGAACCAGAAACCCAGAAAGACAAGAACCAAAACCAGTGATAACCCTACCATACATCAGAGGCATAACGGAAAAAATAAGAGCAACAATGAAAAAACACAACATAAACACACCAACAATGCCATACACAACAGTTAGAAACAGATTAGTACACCCAAAAGACAAAATATCAGCTGGACTTAAATGTGGAGTCATCTACGAAATCCCACGCAAAATATGCAATAAAACATACATAGGAGAAACCGGACGCCAACTCAATACACGGACAATAGAACACAGAAAGGAGTGCGAGAAAGAGGCAAATCGTAAACACACAAGAGCAGCAAAAGAAGAAGCAGAAAGTATAATAAAAAAGTCAGCCGTAACAGAACATTGCTTAAGAGAAAACCATATAATGGACTGGGACAGCACACGGATCATAACCACTGAACAACAAAAATACAAAAGATGGATCAAGGAAGCAATAGAGATAAGGAGACGTGGATGTGGGACCATGAACAGGGACGACGGAGTTTACACGCTGGACCACGCATGGGACTGCATCGTCGGAGAGGGGAGAGCGGGCAGTAGAGGGCGACAACGTCCTCTGCTGCCCGCAGATAAACGGAGAAGGAAGTGACGCGCCACCATCAGCGTCAGCCTGAAGAAGCCGGCAGCTGTCGGCGAAACTGTAGCTACAAACAGGTAAAAAAACTGTTTCTGTGTTTAAAAAAGAACGAAAGCATGGATTTACAAAGACACAGCAAGAACACACCTAAGATATTGATACAATAGGGATATCACACATGCTGCACTTAAGAGAGGCTGAAACTGAGGTAATTGCCCTTAACCCTCCCACTGTCCTCATGGGTGACCCCGCCAGGAAAGTTTACCATTGAGCAGGGTTGATGGTTTATCCCTTGGGTCACATGGCAGGGGTGAGGTGGTGCTCACTCCTCACCCCTGCCATGTGGACCCAAGGGATAAACCATCAACCCTGCTCAATGGTAAACTTTCCTGGCGGGGTCACCCATGAGGACAGTGGGAGGGTTAAAGAGATACACCACTCCTAGCTAAAATTTTGTCTATTGTTAGATTACCCAGAGTTAAATGAGTAAGCAATTTGTAACCAGCTTAGTCATTATCCTGATCTGGTAGCAGTCATTTTGCTTTAGTATAAAAGTAGATGAACGGAAAGTAGTCGCTTTTTGTTTTTAACAATAAACAACATTGTTTTATGCTAAACTAAAGGAAGCCGACTGCTGCCAGAACAGAAGACTGACTGTGCTGGTTACAAATAGCCCCCCCCCCATCAAACTCTGGGGAATCTGACATCAATCACTTTTATGCAAGATTGTAACTTGCTGTCCGAGTATTTCTGGAAGTATGCTGTTTCTAAAGAAACACTCAGCTTTTGGAATCGCATCCTCCCAAAACTCAACATCAGGCAAAATCCTTTCAACAAAAAGGTCTTTGTGGTTCCACACAACAAAGTCGCTGTACTCTGCCTTTACAATGTGAAGCTGTGCCTGAACTTGGAAGTAGTAGTCATGATTCCGATCCAGCGTAACATGATCTCCTTCACCGATGAGGCAGAAGCCCCTTCTCCCAGCGCACAATCGCAGACTGGGCTCATCTTGCTCAGAATGTGGACACTAAAATTAAAGTGATAAAGACGTGAATAATTTACTATGCTATTTTACCTTGTTTTTTTTCTCAGCTCAGTAACTCTTATGAGAAGAGTCTGGGTTTATGGCTTCAACAGTGATTGTAATATTACCTTAATTTCGCAGATGCCAGTTCCATGGCAGTCACAAGTGACTACACCATCTGGGGAGGAGCCCATGTATGGCCACCTGGGGTTCAGCCAGAGACCACTGTTCACACATGCTCCCGACCCATTAGCTTCTCATACGCTCCTCTGGCCTGTGATTCATGTTGGCATCCATAACTGCAAACAGTACATATGCAAATCGTTAAAAAGAAAAAAATATATATATTACTGGATGAATAGAATCACTTACATTTTTAGAATTTGTCATTATCCTAACCCCTATACAGAGTCCTACTCCTGTATAAACCTATACATACAAAACTACAAATTGTTTTAACAGTTTATTACTGTCCATATTAAGAATTAAGAAAAGGGTGAAAATCTGTTAAGAATAAAAAAGGCCTAATATAAAGGCAGAATGTAGATTGCTGTTTTGTTGTGGTCTGGATTCTCCAACTTCATAAAACATTTTGTTTTATTTTTTTACATAAAGTTCTCAATGTGGACAGATCTTACAGCTGTCTTACCCTCAATCCAACCCTAAATACCTTGTGGCATATGTGGTGAACCTCTATGCTTCTGGGTAGCATATAGCCATGATCAAGCTCTTGGAGGGTTGCTGGGGGCTGGTTCTAAGAACTCTTCTCATCTTTGATGCAGTGATGCGTCCAGCTCTCTGCCTAAACCAAATCCTGCTTGCACTCTGATCTCGGGTAGCCCTCTCTACAGCCTGGACTTGGGACGGGGTGAGCTCTTCAAACTGGAACTCCTGGCACAGCTCTGCAAGCTCTTTGGGTGGTAACTGCAAAGTTTCTGAAGTTCTATAGTCAAGAATAGTTTTAGGGAGCATACTAGATTTGGGGATGAATTCTTTGTAGTAAGGCTCCCGTGCCATCAGTGCTGCACTCTTTGGACAGTTTTTACTTAAGGCATCAAAAAACCTATTATAGGTTTCCGATCCCTTCTTCACCCTTGGACACAGAAGCGATTTCACAGGCTTGCTGTCGGTTGTCCTGCCATCAATGGAACGGTCAAGCTTTAGTTTCTTGGACTTTGCTGAGGAGAAGTCAATCATAGCAACGGGGGCAGCAGGAATCTGAAAATAATTTAATCCAAATAAGGTAATCAAGTCCAAATTTTTTAGCTTGGCCTGCCAGACTCCACCTCTGTTTAATTCTACACAGAGAAGTACTACTCTGTGTAGAATTAAACAGAGGTGGAGTCTGGCAGGCCAGGCTACACATTTCTAGGGTCTATAACACACTTAAATGCTGTAACAAATCTGGCACTCGTTGCAGGTAAAGCATTATTATAGGACTGAGATCCAAAAGGGCATTCAGGTATTTAATTTTGGCTATATTAGTTCTTTGCCCAACAAAGAAGCTGTGGTTTACTAACATGTCACAAGCAAAATATATTTTAATTGAATACAAACCAGAAAACAAAAACCTTTATAGGACAATAAAAGAATGTTTACAAAGAGGAGAGACTATGTGGACAAGAGGTCAGGGATTGAACTTGGAAAAATCCTGGTTGCAGAGAGAGCCATGAGATTATACTAAGCAGCAGAAGAAATCACAGCTTTTGTTGCTACAGGGTATCTGCAGGTTTACGGGAGCCAAATTTAAGACTTTTTAAGACCTTTTTAAGGCCTCTTTGACCAAATTTAAGCTATTTTTTAAATTAAATTTAAGCTATAATTTCCAGCTATTGCCTGGAACCGGTGCTAACCTATGTCGCAAGGATTAGCCATCCAGTTACCATTAAACTTGCACTTCCCCATGGCACAAGCTCCCACTAGCTTAACCAGCTAATGTGCTCATCTAAAAAGCCCCCTTTCACAACCAACTGAATGTGTACGATTCTGCTTACGCCAACATCGTACACAGAAAACGCTGAACACTAACTAGAAAATCAGGAAAATTTTATAGAAATAAAAGAATCTTGTTTATTAGGTCTTTGGTAATTTAAGACCTTTGAAAGCTGTATTTAAGGATTATTAGTCATTTTTAAGGATTTTTAAGACCTTAAAATTGGAAAAGCTAATTTAAGACTTTTTAAGACTTTTTAAGGACCCGCGGATACCCTGTGCTACTCGCTAGGGGAAGAAGTGACAACTCAGCAGCCGTTTCTATCTCATGCTTGAATGGTTCTTGAAAACTTACAGTAGGTCTTGATATTTGATTAAATGCACAAAGTGTTTGCTCCTCTAAGTTTGTGAATATTCCACCAGAGGAGATAATATAATCAGGTAGGCAAGTTGAAAAATGAACCTCCTCCTCATAATGGGGTGAGCGTGAGCCCTCTGTGCATTTTGTACAAGTAAAATTTAAAAGGAGTAAAAAAAAAATCATGATTAATATCTAATATCTCTGGGAAAATAAAATATAGACGAGGATAAGTAATCAACTTGTCTACAAAATATTAGGTCCTTGTAACTGAGCCAGAGCAAAGTCATAAACAACAGGGCACAGCCTAATAAATTACATCTCATAGTTAGCCTAGTCTTCCATGTTGATCAGAAATGACATTCTCTGATTATTGTTACCTTTTTAACATGTGATGGCATCAACCACTTGCACTGCTCAGATGTACAAGAAGCAGAGTCTCGCATTCTCACCCCGGCTTCAATGGAGAACAGGACTGCCCCCACATGAGAACATGACTCCGATAGTCTGTGAATAGAACACTATATTATATGTACAACACTAATCCGATAGCAAGAATCTCAGCCTACATAGATCACTTACCCTGCCATGCAGTTGCAATGAGCTGCAGTAATTTCACCATCTTCCTTCAAAATAATCCACGTCTTCAGAGGTGTTTCACTTGATCTTTGTGAGTGGTTTACCTTGAAACATCAACGACTGTCAGGCTAATGACGTTGTTACTGCGTGTTGACGTAAATCATCCTAGCTGCTAACTAGCCTAGCCTGCCAGACTCGTACTCCATTTAATTCTACACAGAATGATAGTTCTCTGTGTAGAATTAAACAAGAGCACGAGTCTGGCACGCTAGGCTAGCTGCTAACAAATTTACGTATAAATCAATCTAAAGACAAAAACTCACCCTGGCGAATACCAGACGATAATCATCACAGAGCCGTTTAGTACCGAGATTGTGGACCCACCCACTAACAAAAAAATTATATGCCTCCAGACTTTTATATGCTTTCATTTGTTGTTTAGTGTAGAACGATGTCTGAAGGACCAGGTAGTTTGTAATATCAACAGACTCTATTCTCGGCAAAGCCATTAATTCTGGGGTAAACTCACTCATTTTCATTAAATATGGATCACGACCAACATATTAGTTTGTTAAATCCGTGTACCTTTGTTTCGAAACTGAGTCTAAAGACATGCAATGAGGACTCTCTTCTGCGGTTTCCTCCATAGCTGTACTCTGCTGTTTACTTCCTGCCCTCCAACCAAAATCCGTGCGTCATTTTAACAACGTGACTAAAACCCAGTAATTGCACTAATAGAGCGTCCAAGGAGTCTCCACTTGATTTTTTTCGGTAAGTAAAATTATATTTATGTATTTTAGGTCACTGCCGAGCTGAGCTTAGATTTTAACATGTACTGTTTAACCATGACATTTAAATGTAATAGGGTAAAACCCAGTGCACTCAACATAATGCTGCACTTTAGAAAATGGGTTGAAATATAACATGTTGGTGGAACTGGGTTGCGACTATCGGCTTGTGGAGCTCTCGGGTGACCTCTGTTTTCCACCTGGTTCTCCCCTCACCGCAGCCCGGCGCATCTCTGTCTGATCGCGGCTTCTGTCTCCTGCGCGGGCTGCTGGCTGGTTCTCCCCGCAACTCAGCGCATCTCTGTCTGATCGCGGCTTCTGTTTGATGCGCGGGCTGCCGGCTGGGTCTCCCTGCAGCTCAGCGCATCTGTCTGATCGCGGCTTCTGACTGCTGCGTGGGCTGACGGCTTGTGGAGCTCTGGGATGGAAACCTTTCCACCCGGTTTTCCCCAGCGGCAGCTCTGCACATCTCAGATCGCAGCGGCGCTTGTCTGCTGTGCGGCTGCCGGCTTGTGGAGGTCTCGGAGACCTCTGTGTTCCACTCGGTTTTACCCAGCGGTCAGCCCGGCGTATCTCTGACTCAGAAGCTCTGGTGTTGTGCACAGTTAACTCCGGTAGTAGCTAGGTTGCTACCTCTGTTAGCTTAGCTTCCACCTCCGCATTAGCTTTGGGTTAGCTTCAGGTTAGCTTGTAGCTAGTTCGACCGGGTGTCGTCAGTTGATCCCAGCCTTACAGCCCCACCCTCAGCTCCACCTCTTTTCCCTTTGGTGGAATTGTCTGGGCTTGACGGAACCTGTGACATGGTCAAAATGGCGGTGGTGGCCACCTCCCATTTCTCTTCAAAAACGTGTTATTGGAGTCTATGGAAAACCAAGAAGAGTGAGAAAAAAATTCACCCCCTCAGAGTTGTCATGAGTGTAAACTAGATAATTTAAACAAAAAACATGTTCTGGTACCAGGCTGTAAACATGTTTATTTCTGCTGTGAAATTGGTATTTTAACATGGGAGTCAATGAGGATTTGCTCGCTTCTGACACCAGCATAGTGGATGAAAAATGGCAGTTCCACTCTAGTAGATGAGGGAGGAACTGCAATTTATTTCACTTCCGCATTGGCCTCAATTTCTGTCCCGCATTTTGGGGGCTTGATTGGGACACATGATGGAGCTAAGACCAGCTGAAAACTTGTCAGCATTGAGCTCCCAGTGGAGCACACAAATGAAATTTTTAAGAAAAGTAAACAAACTGTACCAGTTTTTGTTCTGAAGATGAACAGAATCCTCCTCTATGTCCAAATCGGGTGGCAGGTCTTCTGAGTCAAACAGTCTAAAACATGTCTGCACCTCTGGTAGTGATATCCAGCTGCATCACATTTGCAGATTTTTGTTGTTTTATGTTTTTGTCTTATTTTCTTAGTGTTGTTATTGTTTATGATACATATATACATATTCTTATGTAGACATATATAACTATGTATATATATATATATATATATATATAATATTTATTACTTTATTGGTATTTTGTTATGTTTACTGCGTATCAATCAAGAACACTGTTTTTGGTGCTTCAGTGTCATGAACACATTTCACTCATCCCTTCTTTGGTTCATTTTGTTTATATATATATATATATATATATATATATATATATATATATATATATAAAATCCTCAATCTAGGCTTTTCCACAAGCCCCATGCAGAACTGAATGGCAATGAACGCTTTCATTTCTGGGACAGTTACATCGTACCAGTCATTATATCTGAAGCTAGATTTCAGTTCCTCCCCCTGTAAATACTGGTGAGCACATTGGTTAGTTTCAGTTGTGATGAGGGTCCAGACTTCCTCATCAAAAAAAAAAAACTGACAGAAAATCAATGTGTTCTGAATTTGAACGATCCCTGTCTCCACAGTATCCAACTGGCTCATTAAAATGCCTGATCCACTTCTCCCAAACTAACCCAGCCATCATCATTATTATTGTCACTGAGGCTGTGTTGGGCCACCCCCCTGCTAGCAGTGATTTTGTTTCCCGCGGTTCCTCCCCCCCCCCCCCCCTGCTGCATTTCCCGCGGTTTACACCCCCGGGGCTGAATCGATCACCAGCGGAGTTTTCACCGGCCCATCACCGCTACCACATCCCCCCCACCCACCCGGCACGGACCCGGTCCGAGCTGCTCGAGCCCCCCCCCCCCCCCCCCCCCCCCCCCCCCCCCGCCACAGCGGTTTCTCCCCCTCCGGCTCCAATTCCCGCGGACAAGGTAAGGGCTGGATGGGCTGCTTGTGTAACCGCGTCGTCAGACTCCCTGTTGCTGCGCGCTGAAGACACGCTTATTATTCTTCCTCCGAATCGGAATCTGCCAGTACTACACGAACAGCTTCGTCAGCACTGAACATTCCTCTCGGCATTGTGTTTTTCCTCCACCGCTCGCTCGCTCTCACTGCTCTGACAACCCCTGCGACTGGTGGGCGGGGTTCAAGCGCTAAATACTCCATAAATTTGAATAGTAGCACACCCACAAATGCTGCTTGGATTGAAGTTACAGGTGTCTGCCACCCCGCCGTGAAACGTATTAACTGCATGAGGGCTCATTTCTGCTGCTGTGGCTTATTAAATCCATCATTGCTGCTTGTCGCAATTCTGCGACTTTGGCGCTTAAAGGGTTAATACACATTTACACATGCTGTTCAAACGAATTTTGCCTCTGGCCGATATCTTTAAATGAGTGAGTGAACCCACTACCAAGGATGAACTCTGCTAACTTTAAAAATCAGCTAATCTAAATAAGCATGAAGGTCAGAGGGGAGCTCTAGGATGGACATGGATAAAGGAACTGTAATGTAGAGGTAAAGTAGGGCAGGGCCAACGTTAGCAGCTGTCATACGGTACATTAGGAATGTTCCACTTTCATTTAGCTTGTTATGTGACAGGTTAGAGCACAGTCTCATGTTAGAGTTTTGTCATGAGAACATTGAGATACCTCACATACTGATGGCATCTAAAAATTAACATTTTTGTTTCAAAATAAAGAATAATTTTAATCACAATTGAAACGTACAATCCTAGAAAAACCTCGTCCAATCAATGTGCACGTCCTGTTCTCACTGATTGGATAGAAATCCTTCCATCAAACTGTGTGTCCGTGTGTGTGCGTGCACACACACGAGCGTGTTGTGAACTGGTGTTGTGGCTTTGCACTGATCTTTACGCTGACAAAAATGTAACTAAGTAACTTTTACTTTGAGTACATTTTATTTACGATACTTTTTACTTTTACTTGAGTAAAAATATAGACAAGTACTTTTACTTTTACTTGAGTAAAAAATTATCGAAGTACTGGTACTCGTACTTAAGTAGGAAATTTTAGGACTCTTTCCACCTCTGACGTGCACTGATGTTCAAATAAACCTACATTGTAAAGCAACTCTTACTTGCACTGAATTTCAAGGCTTTACCGAGTAGTGTGCTTTTGTAGACTATACATATAAAGTTGTAACACGATTTTAATAAGTTGTGAAGTAGGCCGGTCTGGGGTCTGAAACCCCAGGGCTGAAAATGTGTCCCACTCCGGCCCTGCATCCATGCCACATTGATTGTTGTTTTGCTCAGTCCCAGTACCATTCTGCCCATAAAAATTAATCCCACCAAACAAAAGATTGCATTGGCTCGTTTGACACAGCTTTGGCATCAAATATTAAGTGCTTTATTTAAATGATAAATGACCCACACTTGTATAGCGCCTCTCAGAGTAAGGACTCCAAAGCGCTTTACACTACAGTGTATCATTCATCCATTCACACACTGATGGTGATGAGCTACAATGTAGCCACAGCTGCCCTGGGGCACACTGACAGAGGCGAGGCTGCAGAGTACAGGCGCCACCGGTCCCTCCGACCACCACCAGCAGGCAAGGTGGGTTAAGTGTCTTGCCCAAGGAGACAACAGCAGAATTCTCTGTCCGGAGCCGGGATTGAACCTGCAACCTTCCGATTACTGGACAACCCGCTCAACCTGTTGAGCTACTGCTACTTTAGAAAAAAGAATGCATATGTATCTTCTTTAACAGTGTATGGTGGAATGCCCTGTTGACTGACATTGTAGTGGTGACAGTCACAATTTTTGTTGCCTAATAGCAAAGCAAGAGTTTCAAAGGTAGCTGCATATTCTGCGCCACAACGGTGCTGTCTATGGGTCGTGGCCAGACTATACATTATTCTGGATGGCTGGCCAGGCTACTCAAGACTCAGACGACTCAAAGAGTGAACGAGTCCAATCAGATGTTCTGATAAAACTTTTAAAGTCAAAGACAAGGCTGGTTTCAGAGGGTATGTACATTTAATAAAGAGAAACAATTTTCAAAGATTACAGTACACAGTTGACCTGCAACATCTGAGGCACTTTACTATAGACTGAGCCTGGTGTACCGGGACAAAAGTCTAGACAGGAATAGGGGAGAGTATAGGGGGTGGGGCTGGGATTCTGGGTCTGACAGTAACAAGATGTAAAGCACCAGGTTAAAAAATGTCTTTGGCCCTAAAGTATTTTAGGAGGAACAGGAAAAGATCTGGCATCAGCTTGGATATAGAAACCAATGTTCATTTGCATTTGTGTTTTTTGGGACCACTCGAGTCAGTCAGCAAAAAATTATCAACTCTCCAGCACAAGTATTCCTGCAGCCACAACACATTCCATTTAGTCCACAAGATGACTCACACCTGTCATAAACATCTGAACATTTCTCAACATGAAGAGCTGGAAATTAAATCTGTACTACATAAACACATTTTTCAGTATCTGTTACCTTTGAGAAAAACTCAAGAGCTGTGATGACTGGAAGAACAGGAAGGGCATGAGGGACAACAACCATCCCCAACATGAGATGCTTTTCGCTTAAAACAAAACAGAATCATCAAAACACACACACACACCCCTAGGCTGGTGAGACTGAAATATTTCACGTGTCTCTTTGGGAACATTAAGAACTGTTAAACATATTACACATTGTAGTACTTTAAACAACCTCTGGAGAAATAGAGATTACGATCAGACATATTAGTCCCAACAAGGCTTCTTAGTCTATAAAAGTTTCTGGTTGAATTATTCAGAAGACCCAGGGACTCGTATCTACTCCTAGAGTAGCTAGCCCAGAATATATAACCACACAATTATCTGCAATATACAATGGCGAGCCTGAAAATTTAATAGAAAAGCAACTTCATAAACACTTTGTTAGAGTTGTGTTTGACAGGTTAACTAGCTGCTCTCAGACCATTCAGAAATTTTGAGATTGTTCTAATGGTTTAGAACATTTCTACAAAAACAGCAGGGCAATTCTTTGTTTCACACTTTGATCATTTTTATGATTTACACAAACAATTAAAAAACTTCCTGACAAACCAACCCAGTGAGATGAGGTGAACCCAATCTAACCCTAACCCCACACACCTGTAGCTTCAGTGGTCGATTGGGAGACTGCTGTGTGCACCGCTTGCTGTTTTATTGCATTATGGACCAAATTACATATTAGAGAACCACAAAGAAGTGTTGTGATTAAAGATGTAAAATTTTATAAAACACAAAAAATACATGTATTTACAGCGTAATGGACTGTGTGACACTGAGACCATTTACAACATTAATACACAAAAAGTTAATGCAGGAAACAAAGCTCGTCTAAATTAATATATAGGATGTGGAACAACAGCCTCAGTCTTGGTCAGCAGTTCTGGCTAAAGCAGGAACAAACACTCAATTTGTCCCTTTATTTTAAGGCTCTGGATTCAATTCCTCAAGAGCCAATCTCATTCAGAAATGGTGCTTTACATGTATATATATATACACTCCTCGGGAAGCATTTCTGCTGCATCACTGAGGCTGATCCAGTCAACCCATAGACAGTAATAGAAGCCAACAGCTAGTTTACAACTGGAATGAACATGGGTGACCACTACCACCACGTGTGGTCTGGATTTTCCCGACATCAAGTTATCCATTAAAAACTAAAGTAATGACATTTTATTGTGCATCTCATATGGGCGGATAACAAAAATAACACATCACCTCTGCTAAAACCAAAAAGGACACCATTAAAAATATTTCTGTTTTAAAGGCAAACTCAACCAAGCAGTGGCAACAACTTACTATTCTGGATTGCTGGAATCAGAATATTTTGTATGTCTGATGAAACATGAACTAACTCAGACCTTGGACCACAGGAACCAATCTGTCAGAGACGAGCTACAGGTGGACTAAATACATCCCCATCACCAATTGACAGAACGATCAATCCCCTTTCATATGAGATGAAGGGGGAAAATAGAAAAACAAAACTAAAATGAAGTTACCTGAGTAATCTGATCCAATTATACTGGCATTGCTCCATTCCCTGTGCTCTAACCCCAGCCCCTACTTACAGTGTACCATTTTCACAGTTCTGGTTTTTACATGTGCTAGCAGAACACAAGCAAAGCCTGCAGAACGATTCCCCACAACATTCACAGTTTAAAAGAAAAAATAATCACTTGAACAGTATTTACAGTCAAACTAGAATAGTATAGGACCTTTAAAAAATATACTTCCAATAATTCCATGTCAAAGGAACAGAGTAGATTAAAAGTGATGAAGTTTCAGAGCAATGCATTCCAGTCTCTTGTTGCTTCCATAAGATGCCTTTGGCCATGACCGATCCAGTCTTCTTGGTTATTAAAAAGTCGACCACAAAACCAGCAGCTGAATGCCACTGATCCTTGTTGACAACCTGATAATTCTTTGACCACCTCATACTTTCTTTTGCTTTTTTTCCTTAGTTTCATTTTTAAAAGGAATCGCTTCCGAACATAACTCTCAAGAGTTCTGGGTCTTAGATGGTCTCCATTAGATGTCACGTTTATGGTTGAGGAACAGTTTTCTACAGCACTAAGGCCAGAGAGTGCCTGAACAGTGTTCTCACTCAAAGAAACCTTTGAGACAGCACCTTTATACCGGTTCACCACTTTCATAATGTTGGCCACTTCAGGAATATCTGCGTCTGGATGATTGAGCACCACTACAGGCTGGTATGTACGGGGGCATTTGATCTGTTGCATGGAACTAAACGGGGCAAGTCTCAAAGTTCTTTCCATCTCTTTATCTACAGGCTTCCATAAGACTGGCTGTTTTTCAGAAGGTAACCTGCTTGAAAGCCTTCTAGCCTTGTGTGCTGTCGCTGGATGCTCAACAAATAATGCTTTCCTGCGCCTTTTGCTTTGGCTTAGAGGCCTTACTGGCCTCTGGGCCAAAAATCTCTCTGATTCACATGGTTGGAGCGTTCCATTGACATGTGATGTTAAAATGCCAGAATTTTTGAGATGGTTCTGTGGAGAATGTTCTGAGCTGATCAAATTTTTAGGTCCAGCAGAAGCTGTTGCATTAGTTTTGTTTGATGAGACCAGGATACACTGGGCTTGAGGTGTGGTGGTCAAGAACAATGGTTGGCTGTTTGTGGTTGAAGCTCCACTGGAAAGCAGGCTACCAGCAGGTGTGACAATCTTAAAAAGGACTTTATTTCCAGATCTTTGATTAGTTTGGCTATTAAGTGTTGCAGTCTTTCCTTCTACGTTGTTTAGAAACATGCTTGATTTAGGTGGAGAAATGTATCGTAGAAGGAAAGCTTGGCGACCAATTTGTGGGGTGCTGGATTTATCAACAGAACTCACAGGCATAGCCAGAACAGGTTGTGAGCTTCCTGCAACCTGAGTACTTGCCAATTTGAAACCAGTGGTACTGGGGGCCTGAACTAGTGGGACAGATCTTTGGACCAAGAAGCAAGTTGGCTGTGCCTTTGCCGTTTTATCTACCGTTGAACTTGAAAGGATCACAGGACCACTGAAGCCGTGACTGTTGATAAGGTAGTGGCTGGAGGTGGTGCGGACACCTGGTTTAACAGCAGAAAGAGTTGTCCCTTTTTCTTTAGCTTGTGGTTTTGCTGCTGGTGTCAATTCAGTGTTAGGAGTGATACTTACACCAGTGGCTTGACCTGATTTACTAAGCCCATTTTTCATGTATGATACATTGATCTGAGGATTTGTGGAACTGGTTAGTAGTTTAAAACCGGGTGCAGCCTTGATAAATCTGTTCTCAGTAGCCCTCAGAAAGACTGGTTGTGTTCCATCTGGCAACTGAAGAATTTGCAGAGTTGTTTTTGCCGGTTTTAAAGAATCACTGCTTGCACCCAAAGACCCTGTTTTTTCCTTGTTAAGCTGTTGGGTAATGATTGCATTTGCATGCTCTTCCACAAAATTCCCTATTGCAGAGGAGCTACTTTTTGTTTCAGGCTCTTTTACAGATATGGGAAGGAAATCCTCCTCTATTTTAATGATGTTGAAATCTTGGAGGACAGACTCAGAGTTCTCACTATTTAGGAGTTGGTCAACACTAGCTACACACCCATCAACCTCTACTTCACCACATGTGCTTTCATTCAAGTGTTCTGGAGACTCTGCTAGTGTCAGGTTAAACTGTGGCGATTCACATCCATTTCCTTCAAGTACTGTTTGACTGTTACCTAAAGTTTGGCTACTGCTGGGTGAAGTGCTAAACACTTCCTTGGAATAGTTGTGGAAAGTGAATACTTCTTGGTTGGGTATATTTTGTGTGTTTACACTTGTATCAAGAGCTGAATGAGTTTGGCATAAAGGATCCAAACATTTTAGATGTTGCGAGCATTTTTTAATTTTAATCTCAACATTATGACTTTGGCCTGCAGTAACCGGAGAATGTACATCAGCATTAAATGTGTGAAAATCAGAGCTTCTTTTGTTTGTTTTGCCAACCTGGCCATTGCCATCAGTCAGCAATGACTCCTTGGTGCCTCCACACTTTACAGATTCTTTGAAGACTGATTTAGATAACTTGGTCTTCTGAACGGCTGATGGAAACGAAACACTAGCAACATTCTCATTGCACAGTGTTGAGCTATTAATAATTTCAGATTGATGATTGGTTGCATTTGATTTACAGCTTGCAGTTACTGAACTATTATCCTGACTACCTTCTGTGCAAGGTACTCCATCTAAGGGACCTTCCACATCACACAACTGTTTTGTCACTAAACTTAAAGTCTCAGAACTAGTCAATGAAGTATTTATAGAAATATTTGATTCAGAAATGCTGCTGTTGTTTGGTGTGGAGTCAAAGCTAAAAACTGAAGTTTCCTCCTCCTCGAGCTTTACTTTTATTGCCATGATATCGTCATGGTCCATTTGGGTACAACCATTTCTAAGGGAACCAGCTAAGTAATGTGGTGTTGAATCAGAGGACTGCTCATTCTCAGCTGAGACTTTACTTTCACTCATCACAGGACCAGGTACCATGGGGTCCATACAACCAACTAAAGAATGGTTTTGAGAATGCAGGTCTTGTTTTGTTGGTATTACTTTGAGGACTAAATGCTTTTTGCCATCAACCATCTTGAATCCCATCACTTTAGTAGTACAATTAGGGGGGAGAGAGATTTTGTTCTTGACCATCAGAACTGTGAGTCCATTGGTGTGACTTTCTGGATCAGTGCTTGAGGTATCACCTTCCTGTAGAGAAACTGGTGTCAACAATTCTGTATTGTGGGGTGTTTTGCTGCACTTTTTCAATACGGTCAAATCCATAAAGTGATGTGTCTCCTTCAAGGAAGACTCCTGTTTTATTAACCTGCCATTTTGGCTTTCAGAGAGACAGTTTGATTTTGGTATCCTCAGACTTTCCAGAGATTCACAACTCCTTTTATAAGGCCTTGAATCTGGTAAGCCATCATCTTCCACAGGCATCAGTGCATTTCTTCTCTCAACCTCCTCTCTGTGAACAACTGCCGTGTGTATTTTTAGATACTCACTCCTTGCAGCACCATAACCACAGATCTGGCAAGTGAAAGTGAATGTATCTGAGTGAGCTTTCACATGCCTTTGGTGATCTTCTTCGTTCAAGCTAATATGTCGACATTTTGAACACTTCCAATGAACCTCGTTATGATGATGGATGTGCTGAACAAATGTTCCTGCATCAACAGTCGTAAAACTACACCAGTCACACTTGAACTGTCCATTTACACTATGGCACATCATGTAGTGCCTGGTAAGCAAAAGCAGCGAGTACTGGACATTATCGTTGCAAAGCTCACAAGTAACCAGAGTATTCCTATGCTCAATTCGATGGCGCTGAAGAACTTGGAACTCATTGGTGACAAAATCACAAAGCTCACATGTATACGTAGGAGGGGTTCCTTTATGGGCAGCTTGGAAATGTTTAAGAAGGTCATTAGGGCTAAATGTTAAATTATCTTTACACACTGAGCATCCAAAACTTAGAATTTTTCCAGAGAAAACTGCCCTCTGTTGAACTTTACAGTGACCGAGTTGTTTCTCTCTCCTAGCTGAGCTACTGTGATCCTTCCCGGGAGACTCAGCTGCATTGCTGAGGGGATCATCCGTTACTTCTCCAAGATGCTTGTGCACAAAGTCTTTCACCTTTTCTTGATTATCCTCTACAATTGATGAGTTGCAATTTTTGGCAAAGTCGTGAGGTCGTCTCAGGTTTTCCATAGCTGCCAATCTGCTAGGTCTCTATGAAAAAGACAAAAGGCATTTTCCGTTAATTCTCAATCAATCAAATGAAAGTTCTTTATTTGTCTCGCTTGGGAAAAGTTTGGTTATAGACAGAAGGGGTTTCACTGTGCCATACTCTTCCAGACATAAAATAAAAACAATACATACTCAGATTAATGATGATATAAAAAGACAGTTAAAAACCTAGAAATTATCATCCTTAACACTTCTACTGCGGTTGTGTCTGCACAGACACAAAATGGCTTCCATAATTTGAACTACCATAACTTTTCAACCGTTTAGGCAACAAACGTAATTCCAGCGGATTCTGAAAATGGAGACACTGCACTTTCCAGTACATGATACATTACGATAATGTTATTCAAGTCCGTGCCTGAGAACAAGGAAATAAACACTCAGCCATTACAATAGAAGAGCCAAAGAATAGTTTTAGACATGTATTTTCAACCTCTCTCTTCTACTGGTGTAAATAATAATTACTTTCTGTAAATACAGGTTCTTCTAAAAAAATAGCATTGTGATAAAGTTAATTATTTTCAGTAATGTACTGATAAACACTAGACTTTCATATATAATTAGATTCATTACACACAACTGAAGTAGTTCAAGCCTTTTATTGTTTCTAATATTGATGACTTTGGCATACATCTCATGAAAACACAAAATTCCTATCTAAAAAAAACCATCATGAAAAGGTTCTCTAAACAAGCTATCAACCTAATCTGAATCAACTAATTAACTCTAAACACCTGCAAAAGATTCCTGAGGCTTTTAAAACCTCCCAGCCTGGTTCATTACTCAAAACCGCAATCATGAGTAAGACTGCCGACCTGACTGCTGTCCAGAAGGCAATCATTCACACCCTCAAGCAAGAGGGTAAGACACAGAAAGAAATTTCTGAACGAATAGGCTGTTCCCAGAGTGCTGTATGAAGGCACCTCAGTGGGAAGTCTGTGGGAAAGAAATAGTGTGGCAGAAAACACTGCACAACGAGAAGAGGTGACCGGACCCTGAGGAAGATTGTGGAGAAGGACCAATTCCAGACCTTGGGGGACCTGCGGAAGCAGTGGACTGAGTCTGGAGTAGAAACATCCAGAGCCACCGTGTACAGGCGTGTGCAGGAAATGGGCTACAGGTGCTGCATTCCCCAGGTCAAGCCACTTTTGAACCAGAAACAGCGGCAGAAGCGCCTGACCTGGGCTACAGAGAAGCAGCACTGGACTGTTGCTCAGTGGTCCAAAGTACTTTTTCAGATGAAAGCAAGTTTTGCATGTCATTCGGAAATCAAGGTGCCAGAGTCTGGAGGAAGACTGGGCAGAAGGAAATGCCCAAATGCCTGAAGTCCAGTGTCAAGTACTCACAGTCAGTGATGGTCTGGGGTGCCACGTCAGCTGCTGGTGTTAGTCTAGGGCTGTAGGTAAACGATTATTTTCAAAACGATTATTCTGGTGATTATTTTATCGAATAGTCGACTATTCTAATGACTAATTACATGATTAATCGTATGATTTCTTTTTGCTGTACAATTGATTAAAACCAAAATATTTTAAAGAAATACCCCCAAAATTGTATAAATGACTTTATTACACAACGATTTTCCAAAGTCAAACATCATTTGCTTAAAACAAAATAAAAGCAGTATTATTATTGGAACACAGTTCCAATAACTCTAGTTTAAGTGCAAAACAGAACACTGTGCAGGTCACAGCATGAACATCCCTGAGTGTTTAACACAAAATAAAACTGTTTAACAGTCCCTAAGGAAGAGCACCCAGTTTCACAGCCTGAACAGAAGTGGTGAGTGTGATTTTTGAGCACCTCTTCATGTTCTTCTTTAAATTCTCCAGAGCAGTGGTTCCCAAACTTATTTAGCCACGCACCCCCTTCTATGTCCCGACAATGTTGACGCACCCCCCAGCCCCACATCAGGGCATGGCTATATACACACACACACACACAGTATATATATATATATATATATATATATATATATATATATATATATATATATATATATATATATACATATACACACACACAATATCTATATATATATACATATACACACACACAATATCTATATATATATATATATATATATATATACACACACATATATATATACACACACATATATATATACACACACATATATATACACACACACACACACACACACACACACACACACATATATACACACACACACACACACACACACACACACACATATATATACGCACACACACACACACACACACACACACACACACACACACATATATATATATATATATATATATATATATATAAATATATATCAGACGTCACGCTAAACCAGGGGTCGGCAACCTGTTCCCATCAAAGAGCCATTATTACCCGTTTCCCACAGTAAAGACAACACCGCAGCAGCCGCGGCGTTGTGGGCGGGGCCTACCCTCAGACAGCAGAGCGCTGCTCACAACAGGTGACAGCAGCCGGTACCGGTCGCTCGTGTACGTCAAAGTTATCTTTCATAAAAAGATAATCAATAAAACGATTTATATAAAATGGATCCAGAAGTTGTAGCCCGTCTCTGCCTACAATATTTTGATATTTTTCACTCTGCTGATGGTTTTACTGAGCAGGTGCCCCTTTTGTCATACGTTTCTTTTTAAAACATGTTTAGACTGTTCAGAATACAAATCCAGTCTCTGTCATGTTTGATTGTTGTAATTAAACTTTGTAGGTGGGGAAGGTCAGAAAAGGATCCGATCATTTTGTTTTTCCCTCATTTACAGTGACGGAGATAACGGCGCAGTGCGCCTGGCTCTGGTGTTAATCAAGTTTAATTTGATCTCTTTGCAACAATTTTCACAAGAAAACAGAACAGTTAAAAGCAGGGCTTGTGTTGACCGGACAGTTCCCGTATTTAACCGTTTATTTTGACGGAGAAAGAATAGAAAGAATTACCCCGACGCATGCAGACGAACCGACATTTTATTAGTTTCGCAAATCGCAGATGTAGCTAAATCACTCAAGAAAAGATTTCCTTCTGAACATCTGAGCTCGACACCGCTCAGCGCAGCTCGCTGTCAGAGCGTACATAAGGTGCACAGCGAGCTGAAGATGTGGAGAGGGGCTTGGAGCCCGTTGCAGAACCAGAGCGCATGCGGGAAGATTCCTTCCACTGAAGCGAGTGTTTTCCAAACCCGGTCTCTCAGAGAGACTTGTCACTTAGAAAATGTTCCCTGATGATGAAACTTTGGCTGAATTGTGCTTGTTTCTGTCTCCAATGTGGCGTCTGAGGAGAGTCCCAGAATCTCACATCGTTTTCAGCTCAGAAAGCGCCTATATGATTACGCACAAGCGTGATGCGTCAACCCGGTCACACAGTAGACCGGGTTGGACCTGTTCAGGTTTACGCAGACAATCTTTACATAGAATTAGCTTACAGATGTAAAATTTATGCAGTAAAATATAAAGCATTTTATTTAAATATCCATTCATTATTTTACAAGCACAGAGAGCCGCATCAGATGGATGGAAGAGCCGCATGCGGCTCCAGAGTCGCGGATTGCCGACCCCTGAGCTAGGGCATGTGCGGAGGACACACACACACACACACACACACACACACACACAAGAAAAATATACTTGTTTTCAATTACGTTTATTGGGCCCACTTACTTTTTCTTAGGCCCACCCACAAATGAGTTTCTGGCTACGCTAATGGTGACTTTTCACAGACTTCTCTGAGCTCCGCAGCCATTACACTTTTCACCTCGCGCACCCCCTAGCGGCAGCTTGCGCACCCCACCACACTTTGAGAATCCCTGCTCCAGAGTATCTTCATATGTTTTTTCCATCTGGTTTGTGAACCACCACCTGGATGGACATTTGAAGCAGGGACAGGCGTATTCGACCATATCGATGAAGGTGTCACCCTCAACAAGAGACAAAGGCCTCATGTCTAACAATCAACTGTAAGATAAAGAAAAAAGAAATATAGAAACAACATAGCATTTAACATTTAATTACTAGACAGATCACACAAGGACGAAGAAAAAAAGAAGCCAACAAAAGCAAACGTTTGAGATAAAAGACACTGGACCCTATTTTGTCATATTTGTCATCTGTTTTTATCTAAATGAGGGTGAATTTTTTTTACATAGTTAGCAATTTCCTCCTAAAAGATGCTGAAAGCAAGCAACAGTTAGCTAATATTGATTACTTACTTTCAAGATCCTTTTATTCAGCTCGGCTGTCCTTTGAGGTGTGCATTGCATCTCTTGCCCAAGATAAGACGACAAGGTTCTTTGCTTTGCTCTGGAAACACAATCAAAGATTAAAAGCGTTTATTGTCAAATGCAGTTAGAAACATGTTTCCCTGTTGCAATAAAGTCAACAATATAAGCTACACAGAAGTATAGGCTTTGCAGAATGCAAATTAGAACATATTTGGAACATATCAGAACAACAGCTATGAATGTATGGTATCTTAAATCTGCTCTTAGCCTTATTGCAGTGCTATGCCGTGATTAAGTCATTTGAGAATGCTGGTGTGGCTACTTTTGTAATGTTAAGTCATGTTTTGTACAACAATATATTTTGTCATTGCCTAGCAGCAATTACCTAGTTAGTCATTTGGGCCAGCATTATATGCTATCACTAATTAACGTTAGCTAAATACAGCTGTGTTTAGCCAAACCAAACACGCCCTACCGAAGTGCGCAGAGCTCACGCACGTTACACAAACATGCAATAAATTTAGTAAACACTGACAATATGATATAATGTTACTTACTTCTGTTCGAGGGAGTCACGGGTAACAATGGGATGCCTCCGCTTCAGATGCTCCCACATGGACGTTGTGCTGGTGTGATAAGCTAATTCCATGGTGCACAGACTGCAAATAATGGCACTTTCACGTTTTGTGCTCCGTTTAAAATAATCCCACACCTTTGAGGTAGGGCGCCGGGGTCCCTGAGACATTGCTGCTGAGTCTATCAGATGAA